CCAATTGGATACCTAATATTAATGCCTGTAGGCTGTAGCTTTATACAAGTTGTAATTTGACAGAGGGTACGTAGGGTCAGGCATTGGAGGATCTTTTTCAGTCGGAATTATTATCCAACCTTAAATAATTAGGGTTGGGTTCAAAGGGATTTGAAAATGAAAGTCAAAACCAGAAAAGAAGGAAAATTACAAATGTTCTTTTGGATTTGGGATGAAACTCTTGAACTTTGTATGGGTGCTGAATCTTGAAATTTACGTTGATAAAGTTTTTGGAATTCAAAATTTTAATTTAATTGCAAAACTCTATTTTCAAAGGAAATTCATTTAAAATTGAAAAGAGACATCCTAAATAAGGTTAAATTCTTTTCGGTTGCAGATCATGTGGAATGCACGTGTGATAAGATGGGTCCCATACGTGATTAATGGCCAAAAACATTTTTGCCTTCTTTTGACTTGCCTCACTTCAAGCTCAAAGTCATACATTCATTTCAAAAATTACAAATTTATAGCTTAAAAAGAGGGTAAAGTATTTATCAATTATCAGTCGGATGTTTCAATAAAATCTTATAGACTAACATAAGTTACTTTTAGATCTGTTTATTATGATTTTTTTAATAAAATGACATACATTTAAGATTTTTCTTAATTTTTTAAAAGTTTAATTAATAAAAAACTAATTTCAAATTAGAAAGTTTTTTTTCTTTTTATTCAAGGATTCATTTGTAATATTATATGTATCTATTTATTTAATAATACAACATATATATTTAATGTTACATTATGATTATAAATTTATAATTTTACGTGAGATTATAATTATCGCATTGTTGTTATAATAAAGTTATAATAAAGGTTATGACCACACATCAAAATGTTATGACCATACAAACTTTTAAATATTATATTTTAAAATATTAACTAGGAATGACATCGGGTTTTCGCTGGGGGGGGGGGAGGACCTCTGTCTTATCCCCATCCTCACCATTGATGGATACTGGAGTCGTTGAGGAGATTCTTGACAAAGGGTAAAAAATGCCCTCCATCCCCATTCTTGCGGGGAATGAGGGGTCTTTGTGCGAAAGTATACAAAAATACTTTCTTGTTTTGTTTTTCTACATGCAAAAATAATTTGATTCATTCAATTCTTAGCTCCAAAAAAAAAAAATCCCAAAAATATATTAGGAAAAGTGTTATTTCTAAGTTTTTTTTTTTTTTTTTTCTAGAAAATGAAACAAATTAAATTAAATAAAGTAAGCTTCGCCTAAGAAAGAATAAGTAAATAAATAATGTCAGTTAAATGCGAATTAAGAGAAACCAATTAAACAAAGATGTGAGCTCGAGAGGAACTAAGATAGTAGAGAGGGGAGATGTGAGAGTCAAAGTGTTGGGGGTCAAGATTTGTGGGTTTAAAAATTGAGATATTTTGACTTATTATAATTTATAAAAATATAAATTATTATTTTTATTAATCTATGGTTCCCCACATGAATCTACAACGCAAGAGAAATTTCTTATAAAATTTTGTTGAGAAAAAATAGGTTCCATTCATGCCTTATGAGAAGGAATATTTTGAAAATTTTTGTTCTCGTGGTGAGGTTCTCCACGGAATTCCATGAGTCGTGGAGGAAATTACCATATTTAATTATTAAAAATAACTAATAGTTTTAACTCTTAACAAATAAATGACAAAACAATTAATGTTAGTACTTAACATAACAACGTCACGTGTCCTTATAAAGTTACAACATGATGTTGTTGAAAAAATTAGATGTGGACTATCACTAATTGTATTTGGTTTTTAAAATTGACTCAAATGAAAAACTAGTATAGCCTAATAAAGTTAAGTGATCTAAGTGGCTTTAGGTTTTGTCTTAATTTTATATGATATGATATGAATAAGTGTAGAGTTTGAAATTAAAGATGAATTACTTGTTGGGGTGCCTTAAAGATTGTTATAATGGGGTTAAGTCCCATCCCCATTTAGAAAACCCTAGTTTTATAAATAGTGGAGTTAGGGGGAGTAACATAACCCATATGTTGCTATTATACAAAAGTTAAATAAGAAGGAAAAGACCTAAATCTCAATACTAATCATATTTGTTCTTCAGATTTTACATAAAATGCAATTATGAGGATCTTCAATGATCCTTGTTAACATTACAACATTGTATATTGATTATAGAGATTAAGTTACACAATTTATTTATTGCATTATATCTTGATATTTTAAATTTCACATATATTAATTCTTAAATTCTAATAGATGTGTTGTTACAAAATTACATAAAATTGTAATTATAGTATTATTGATATATACTAATATTTTCAAATATCATAATTAACCCTTGACAGAAAAATTTCAAAGTTAGTGACCTATAAATATAGTCTCTCCAATTAACTCATATACATCGCCTTGATATATATTGAGCGATATGCCTTTGGATTCCTCATGTGCATCAGCTTCAGAATCTGTATGTACTCTTCTTCTTCAATCCCATTAACCTCCAACAAGTTCTTCATCACTGCATCTGTAGCCTTCGTCAAGAATTCCGACCAATCCCTATATATGATATCAAAAGAAAATTCATCAATAAAAATTTTATAATTTTGGCATGGGCCAATTCTGTTCTGATTTAGCTAGCTAGGCACCTCCAACCGTTCCCACACCACTGAAAGTTTCAAGCTATAGTAGTGTATAAATATACTAACCCTTTTAATGTGTCAAATGTGAGACCGACGGTGCATCTTGCCTCCTCGAGGGCCCACTCGAACCGCTGCAGATCCGCTACCGTACGAGACCCGTTGTACTTAACCTGAAGCAGAGACGGTTTCATGTCGCAGAAGATTGGAATGACCCTCTTCCTACTTTCCATCATCAGAGCCAACTCGTGTAGACAGAAGTAAGATTCACAATAATGCGGTGAAAAGACAGCAACACCGATCTTGCAGTGTCGAACAGCATCATTGATTTTGTCGAACAGCCGATCACCGGGCTTCATTTTCTTGTTATCCAAAAACGGGTTGAGCCCTAGGAGGTAAAGATGGTTGTGGAGCAACCCAGAAATGGTTCTCTTGGTATCAATTCCTCGATGGTTTATGAAGACGTCGCAGGGGTGATGTAGCTGTTTTGAAAATTTTTCTATTTTGTG